ACACCCAGCAAGTCGTAGGCCATGGCTTGCAGTGTGAGCTCATGCAGGAGAGGTGACACGGGGTCGAAGCCTCGGTCCAGAATGAGCAGCTGAGTACGAGACTTGTCGGGACCCTGGAGGCACCAGAGCATATACAAAACACTGCTTTAACATGTAACACGTCGTTTTTCCAACAGCAATCAGTTTAACCTTTGGAAGAACCCCTGATCTCCCCCAACACAGAAAACTAAAACTACACTGAGTGAAAATCTATTTACTATGTGAGTTTATTCTTTTCTTAACTCTAATTAACACGTGTAAGAGCTGTACAGTTTTAATGCAGCTAAAAGAACTAATGATCAATAAAAGCAAGCTGGATGTTCTGGCTGATTAGAGCTGGGAATGATTTATTACAAATTGCATTGTGTGTAATTTCCTCTGTTTTTCTTTCGTTTCAGAAGTGTCCACATATTTACCTTAATCTGGTTCTTCCATTCATTATCGAGTCATTTCACTGCATTACCTCTCCCAAGGTGGGGTCGTCAGCTTTGTAGCCATCCAACTTCTCCTGAAGCATCTGAGCCAGAACGGCACAGTCTTTGTAGTCCCTGATGCAAACACACAGGTATTCATTTATCCAGGTGTTGGTTCATGCACATTTTAAAAGTCAAACAGCATGGACGCGACAGCCAGGAAGAAAACATTTGGCTTATTTAGAAATAAGAGAAATCATCCAGAAATCAGATTCTGATAAAACAGTGTTGGCAAGAAGACGTCATCCAAATTCAAGCTGTTAGAAAGCGAGATAGAGGAGGGGGCAGAGCTTCTCAGAGAGGAACCACAAGAAATACACAAAAACCCACAGTGTGACTCCTCCAGGAGGTAGGACAGCTCAGTGGGATGGAATAAGGATATCCTTGACAGGAATATCAACACATGTCCCAGTCAGCAGATACTCAGCTGAAATAATAGGCTGACAACAGATGATGTCACTTTCTCCACAATGCATGGAGGGTTCCACCCAAAATTACAGCATCACGTGGCTTTACGAGCAGCCTAAAGGACAACACAGAAGCTCTGATCCAGATAGAGACAGGAGTCTATCACAGACACAACCTGCAGCCTGCTACATGACAGCAGGACGGGACGATGCGAGCTGAGTCAGCACTTGGATCAAGCAAGTGGACTACGAGAACATTTGTGCTGCATGCATCCAAACTGGAAGAGTAGCTCCAGCATTTTCCAGGAACAAAATTGGACCTGTGTCCAGAAGAGAACAGCGTCAGTGCTCTTCTGCTAAACTGCTGAACCTCAGAACAACACAAAGCCTTCAGGCCGCTTTGTCTCCTGGTAGAGTTTGCTTTGGGAAAGATGTGCACACCACCCTGTCCAGAAAGCAGAGGCAAGTCTGATGGTTCTCCTCCGATAAAAGGCCTTAACATCCAGCCTGTTATGTTAAAAGTCTGAATGTGCTTTTGCTAATAATGAAACATCTTCATTCTTGATCAGAGATGTAATCAAAGCACAAGTGTCACACACACACACACACACACACACACACAGAAAAACCTTGTAAAGTGCATCATACAAAAACAGAAAATGAAATGATATTAAAGTTTAGATTTTAAACTTTGTTTCAAATCATGTTTGTTGAAAAGTCAGAGAGAGGAGCTCAGGAGCTGCTGGACATCAGGACATCAGGTCATTATGTGTCAACAATGGTGAATGGATGTCACAGAGGGACTGAGGCCATCTCGAATGATGTAACGTTCACAAGGACAAAAGTGCTGTGCAGAGGAGATGAGTCGTTCTTTTCTACAATATAAGTCAGGTCAGAGGATTGGAAATAAGAAGTTCACAGCTGGAATGTGAAGCACAGACCACACCAGAGGGATCAGCCACAAACTGTGACGCTGCAAATTGGTTTTGATGGTTTTTCTCTGCTCATTTGTGCCGTGTTACAGATTCAAGAGACTTTGGATTTCCACTGTATTCCTGGGGGATTGAATTTCCGAGGAATGCTGCTGGATAAGTGAATCTTTAGATCTGGTTGTGCTCGTCGTCTCCAAGCATTTTCCTCACAAAGATCAGAACAAAGTCAGCATCAGCTTGTAGCAGGCTGATGAGTATAATGCAAGTGCTTTGCTGCTGCTGAAGCTCCAGTCTGCTACATTCAAAGTCTGCATTGTTGACATTCTCCAGTCGTCTCCAACAGCACTGAGGGAACGTCAGAACAGCACTGAGCCTGCTCCTGATTTTTAATCAGAGGAGACAGGGTAGACACCCGGAGGAGAGAGGCACTTAGTACTGGACGAAACCCCGTTGGCTCCATCCAAACCCTGCAGACCTACTGGTGCAGACCCACAGGATCAGAGATCACCACTTTTTAAATAGAGCCAATTCAAAAGGAGCTCACCCTCTGTATCGAACTCCTGGATACTCTTTCAGCGTGGCACAGAGGGTGGCGATCTGTTCAGCACAACGCTCCAACATGTTGTTCTTCACGTCAGCCTTGAAGGGGCTGTAGAAGTCCTGGAAAGCATCCACTTTATCCAGGGAGAAGACCTGATGACAGAAAACAGTACAAAGACGACACACAGTTGTATCGTTTCCCATCTGCACCACAACACACAGGCTCAGAAATAACTGCACAATAACTGGGCTGACTATTTGATTTAATATTTAATATTGTATAGTGGTATACAGAGGCAAAACTACTGGATATATCCTCAACACCTCCCATGTGCACAGTGTTTCCCAGTTTAATGCAGGCCTGAGTCTGGGTGGTTACTGATGCTCTTATATGATCCTGAAATCAAACTGGTACCTTGTGAACCTTGTGTGAGAAGCTGATTCATCTCCTTCTACTCATTAATAATGCAACGTTCTTAAATCTGGTCATAAATGTGTTACATAGTTTCAGTTTTCTCTTCACTTTCTTGCAACATGAAAGATCAACTTGTAGTTCAGTTCAGTAAATCGTGGAAAGACAGCTGAGATTTTACTGACTGTTCATTCATCTGCATTCAAATTATACAAACACAAAGATCTCAGAACATTCAATAAGAATATTGTTGCCATCAGTCATGACTGATGGTGGCCAGGATCTTACCTGAGACTCATAGGGCAGGAAGGCTATGTGGATCTCAGTCAAGGCCTTCATCGCTTTAGAAGCGCGAGATTTGGTCAAGAGTCCAAACAAAGAGTCGGGGATCGCTGCAAGCAATCGAAGACAAACATTTTGGTTTACTTAGAGAAACTGTAGGTTTTACAAAGTAAGAATTAAACGTTTCATTTATTTTATCTGCTTGGCTCAACATAGTGTTTATGGTTCTGAATCTGTTTCCTTTTCTGTCCAAAATACACATTTGAACAAAGGAGTGATTTTTTTTTTTTGAGTGAAAATTGTAAATAACTTCAGCTGCTTTCAATCAGTCTCAGGTGAAAGTATAATTAAGCACATGTAGTTTTCTGTCCACATTTACAGTAATAATGGGCAGCTTATCAAAGTCAAACAGAGGAATACAAATATAGAAATTATTAAAAATATATTATATATTAATAAACATATTAATATGGATTAGGAAAGAGACGTCTGTCGTGTTCAGACGAGTGAATACTTTGAATACTTTTTGGTTTCGGGGCTTGACTTCTGTCAAACATGTGACATTTGGAGCTCATGTGTGTCTTTGAGTTAAACAAAGTTCACCCTGCTGTCAGCGTCACGTCCTTAATAAAGTGGCAATGAAAAGAAACACTTAACCTTTTATTTGTAGATGGCTCTGTGCAGTCAGATGGGACTGGTACCCGCCTGCTCCCCGTTCTCTCTAACTGGTGCTGTGACTAATATGAAACATTACCAATGGATGTGTTGAGTCACAAAGACTTATCACAGCCACGTTTGGTCCATGGCAAATTATTAAAATTTGCTTGACACCACAGACAGATTTAATGGAAACGGTCAGTAGTTCAGACTGACCAGCTCTTAAGTTCCAAACAATCATTCCAATAAAATCCAGAGGAGGAGTTTGGAACGGTCTAATCCCTGGAAATGGTCAAATCAGCCACATAAAATTGTCAATTTAATTCAGTTCAACTTTGGATGATCGAGCCAAAAGACTTTTTTTCCATATTTGAAATGTAACATGTGTCATTCACCATAAACGATGCTAAAGACCTGCTTCATTAATTGTTGCTATAGAGCCATGTTGCAATGACCATGTCTGAGTGTCAGGGTCCTGGGTCTTCTGACCCAGCATGTTTAGTTCTTTGTGATTTTTGTATTATTGTACTTGTGTGAGTTATTCTATGGTTTCTAGTTTCGATCCCTTGCCCTTTATGTTTCTCTGTGTACACTCTGTTCTGTGTAAGTCTGTGTCTGCATGTTTGAGTTTCCCTCTGTGTCTTTCGGTTCTTAGAGTCCTCTAAGAACCGAGTCCTAAGAATCCTACCTTATGGTTTATGTCTCTGTGTTTCTTAGTTGCTGTCTCCACCGTGTCAAGTTCGCGTCTCTGTGTGATACTTCCTGTTTTACTTTGAAGGTCCGTGTCTTATGTGAATGCGTCCTGCTTTGCTTGTCTCGTCAGTCCTGATTTCTCCCAGCTGTGCCCTCCTTCTGTGTCTCATTCCCCTCGTTACTTCCCAGTGTATTTAAACCCTGTGTTTCTCTGAGTCAGTGTCGCGTTGTCCCTCATGCTCTGTGGACACTGAGTTTAATAAAACACACATTTCCACCAGAGCTGTGTCTGTGTGTGCAAACTGTCATGACATTTGGAGAATGTGTCTGCCTTTAAAAACATCATTCACTTAGTAAAATAGCACTGAAGCAGATAAAGGGAAGAGAAGCCTGCACTGCTGTGGAGGAGTTTTATTCATTCAGCTTTCACAGGGGAGAAAAACAACATGCTGCTGTGGAAGCTGGGCAGACATTACACATGCACAAAAACTAAAACACTCCAAAGGCATGGAAGAAAAGCCAAAAGCACAACCAAAGTCATTTAACACAGTGAAATACTGTGATAGAGACATGTGTGGAGCATCTGTAGCTGTTTGGGGACCAGGATGTGTTCAGGGCCCCTGTTGTTGTCGTCTCACTCTGATCAAGCATGCAGTTTGGATTAAGACTCTTTTCCTGTTGTTTTCAAATTAAATTCCTTTTTTGAAAAGGAAATGCAGGCTAAATTCACGTGGATTTGCACGAGTTAAATGACTGTGACTTGTGTAAAAGCACAGCTGCAGTGTGGCGTGTTGGACTTTATTAAAATGTGTTTTCAGTATTGTATGATCTACTATTTTGGACTAGCAGTGGTGTTTATTAGTCATAGTGACTCCTCAAAGAGTTTTAGGATATTTTACTTTCAGTTACATTTATTCAGTTGTATTTATCCCCCAATGGAAAAAAGAAAGACAACACAGCATCATCCAGCCAGTAACAGCTGCAAAACTATACTGACAGATGAAAAATACAGAAACCAAAAACACCTGTGAAGATTTTTAAATACAGTAAACGTGCTTCGAGTTAAAGAGAGTAGTGTTGGATATCCTGATATGGTCTTAACCTCGTTATATAAAGTGTCCTGAGACCACATGTGTTAGGACTTGGAATTATATAAATCAAACTAAATCGTGTATGTTGTGGGTGTGATTTTGGTCTACTCACTGTCAGTGAAGAAGACGTGGGCGGCTTTGTACCTCGGAGTCCGAGGGTCTCTGAAGTCCTCAATCACACCCTCGACAGACTGAAATAGCAAAGACGCACAGAATAATAATTCATTGTTGAGTGAGTATC